CTGAAACAATAAGTGATCCCTGGCCAAAGAAGCCTAAAGAGGCTATAACTATACTAGTGAGGAAATAAGTAAGTTCATAAGTCCCAGCCTGATTCTTCTTCAGTGGTGCCTCGGTAGCTAAGATAGAATTGGAAGGGTTTATCCTTTAAAGCTGTAGAAAAGTAAAAATTAAACAGAATTTTTTTTTTTTTTTTTATGCTTTTGACCTGCTAAAAATGTGTGAATTGAGCTTCCCTAAATCATTTCTTCAACAACCCTGATATCTTTGTGATGCCATTGGAGAAACCTGCAATTTTAATTTAACTAACAATGCTTTTCTCTTTGGTGGTGTACAGGGCTCATTCAAGATTTACCCACTGCCTGATGACCCAGGCGTGCCAGCGCCACCTCGCCAGTTCAGAGAGCTTCCTGAGAGTGGACCACAGGAGTGCCTGATCAGAATATATGTGGTGTCCTGTACTGACCTGCAGCCTAAGGATACAAACGGCATGGTGCGTCTCATACATGAAGCTGCAGCTGATAAGTCATGTTGCTTTAATCCTGTGCACAGCTTATCACAATTGTGAAAAAGATGAATACTTTCAACATTATTTATTTATCCATTCTCCGTTCAGTGCGACCCGTACATTAAGATTATGCTGGGGAGGAAAACAGTGGATGATAGAGATAACTACAAACCTAACACCCTCAATCCTGTGTTTGGAAGGTGAGATGCTGTTGAGATGTGTTGTTTTTTAAAAAAATAATTTTTGATATTTAATTATTTTACAGTGAAAACTCAAGCATTTCAAATACTTTTCTCCAGGATGTTTGAGCTATCCTGCTTCCTGCCTCAAGACAAGGATCTGAAGATTTCTGTGTATGACTATGACCTCCTGAGCAGAGATGAAAAAGTGGGTGAGACAGTCATCGATTTGGAAAACAGGCTTCTCTCTCGTTTCAGGCCTAGCTGTGGCCTGCCACAGACTTACTGTGTGTAAGTATGTACTTTAAGTGCACTTCAGTTGTTTATTTTCTTAAGTCTACAATTTTGTAGCTCTGCTTTGTTTGTATCCAGTCATTTTGATCAAAAGAGATGTTACACATCAACATCGATTCGAATGTCTTGCAGATCTGGGATCAATCAGTGGAGAGATCAGCTGAAGCCTTCTCAGATACTCCAAAATCTGGCTAAAGTGCGGGGCGTCCCTAATCCACGCTTTGAGGGTGATGGAAGCTCATTGTCTTTCGCAGGAAGAGAATACCACCTGCAGGAATTTGGTATAGCCATTCTTGAAAGTCCTGTTATCATAGCACATATTGAGTGTGCTGTCTCTATTGTTGTTTTAATTGTGTCCTGTTTGTTTTTTGCCTTGCTACTTTGGAGGCTTTCTCAGTGATATTAACACTGACTGCATTCTTTGCAGAGGGCAACACTGTACAACAACACCAGCACTTGGGCCCGGCCAGAGAAAGGCTGGCGCTGCATGTCCTCAGAGACCAGGGATTGGTACAAGAGCATGTAGAGACCAGGACCCTATTCAGCTCCCACCAACCAAATCTATCACAGGTTAACACTCATGCACTCAATGCATTTTGATTTGAGCAACTTAGTTATGTGCTGTGCTTTGTTTAACCCTTTTCTCAAAAATCTAGGGACGAATTCAGATGTGGGTAGACATTTTCCCCAAGAGGCTCGGTTTGCCCGGGCCTCCGTGTGAAATCACTCCACGCAAAGCTAAGAAGTAAGAAACTCTTTACAAAATAATCATATATCTTAACGTAATGCACCAAGGGGTGAAATATAATTGCATACTTGAAACAGGTACTTCTTGCGAGCTGTCATTTGGAACACAAGTGATGTCACTCTGGATGAACGAAGCATTACTGGAGAAAACATGAGCGACATCTACGTTAAAGGGTATATTAAATGTCCCGTCTCTCACTTTAATCCTTTATTTGTACTCTGCACTTGTACTGTGGTTAACAAGAAGGCGACATATTGCTTTTGTTTGTTCTTTAGATGGATGCCAGGGATGGAGGACAACAAGCAGAAGACTGATGTCCACTACAGATCTCTGGATGGAGATGGAAATTTCAACTGGAGGTTCATGTTTGGCTTTGACTACCTACCTGCAGAGCAGCTGTGTGTTGTCTCTAGAAAGGTGTGTAAAGCCATGGATGAGCAACAAAACCCCAATTTATTTCTTGCTAATAATGTAACCAGTTATAATTTGAATAAATGAAATAATTTTTTATCTTTATACAGGAGCATTTTTGGAATCTGGACAAAACTGAATTTAGGATTCCTCCTAAATTGATCATCCAGATATGGGATAATGACAAATTCTCCCTGGATGACTACTTAGGTGAAACAGTATTCCAAATTTTGAAGGAAATGCCTTAAAAAGAGCCAACTGCTATAACATATGCTCTGCAGCTTTGTCACAGAAAGACGTGTACATATTTTATGTTGCAGGGTCAATTGAGCTGGACTTACTGAATCTCATCCCTCCTGCAAAGACCCCAGAAAAGTGCAGCCTGAAGATGCTGCAAGGAATGATGGCATCACAGCCCACCTCACTCTTCTCCCAGAAGTCTGTGCGAGGCTGGTGGCCATGTGCAATTGAGCAGGGTGGAAAACCTGTACTTGGTGTATGTTCATGTCTCCAGCACACTTATTTGTCATATTTTTTAAATGTGTGTTTTTTTGTGGGATCCTGTTTAAGGCCTTGTTTTTAAAAAATTTGCAGGGAAAAGTTGAGATGACACTGGAAATAGTGGATGAGAAGGAGATGGAGGAAAGGCCAGCCGGGAAAGGCAGAGAAGAGCCCAACATAAATCCCAGACTGGAACCACCCAAGTAAAAATATGTCTCTCCAAAGAAAAATTAATAACTGTTTTACATTAATATACTTAATTTAAAAATAATCGTGTGTCTCTATTCTCTAACAGCCGCCCTGACACTTCGTTCTTCTGGTTTACAAATCCTTGCAAGACCATGAAGTTCATAGTGTGGCGCAGATTCAAGTGGATTTTCATTTTAGGAGTTCTTCTCCTGCTTGTACTCTTGTTCCTTGGGATCCTTTTCTACTCCCTCCCCGTAAGTTCACTCATTTTGCTGATAATGAAGTCAAGTTTGTTGTGTCCATCAGAACCTTTAAAGTATTTTGTCTAAAACACTTTGGATATTTGGATACTGAAATTAATTCAGCATTTAAAAATCCCATTTTTTCTCTCTGCAGAATTATATCTCCATGAAGATCGTCAAGCCTTTCTCTTAAGAAGCACTGTAGAGAAGCTCTGTACCTACCTGCAGCACAACCTACAGACCTGCTTGCTGTTACCATCCCATGGAAATAAGCAATAACTGTCTCTGCTGATGCCTTAGATATCTGACACTAAGCATTTTCCTGTCACAATGACTGCTATTAATTTTGTATTTTTACACTCTCAGTATTATTTTGTACCTCATGTATATTAAATCAAATTTGTTGCACTGACTGTTAAATGAAAAAAAAGCAACAGAAATGACATTTCAATAAATCATAGGGATCTATCTATTGATAGATAGATAGATAGATGATAGATCGATAGATACATAGTCAGATATCCATATCTTCATACATAGTTTGTATGAAAATCATGATAACATCAAGTATTCTGTGTAAACATGTTTGAACGTCAGTCAGTAAAATGTCATGATTATGCATTAAATTTTGGTTCATAATTTTCACACAACACCTGAGTGTTTAAATTTTAAGTGAGATGCCTAAATAAATATATAATTTTTTTCTATTAATAAAATAATATTTTGTTTGCAGCAGTAAAATTCATAAATACAGTATGTAGGTTTTCAAGGTTTTTTATATTTTTGATTTTATAATTTCCCATGAGCCCCCACAAGCTGGTTGTTGGAGCTAAAAAACAAACAAACAAAAAGCTGGAATCACCCTGAGAGTACTTGCTGTCTGTGGTCTGTTGGTTGAGCAAGAGAGCTGTTGGCACCAGCCGCCCGAATAATCTGATCAGAGAGGCTGGCTCTGTGTGTAATGGTCCAAGCAATGGGGAATTTTCCTTTTTTTCTGTCTCTCCTCTCAGGTGGAGTTGTAGACTGGATGTTCGTGCTAGGCCTCCCTGCTGATAGAGTCTCAGTTTTCCTGGTCTTCAGCCGTTGCACAAATTTTTATTTCCTCATCACTGTGGCAGTTATAACCAGCTTGTGCACACAAAATTTGTGTGACAGAGAACCATTTGACAGCCTTAATAACATTTGCTCTGGTAAAATGATGAAAAAATGTACTTCATCAAACTTCCAGCTCCAAAACTTTAAGTTTTAGCTTGAAGAAACAGCATTGTGCATGCTTCTTTTCAGTTAGGAAAAGGTCTGCAGCTTCTGCATTGCTCTCTGACTTTTTACTCATGTTTGGGTTCAAATATCACAATGCCAGCACAAATCATGTTCTTTGAAAGCACAAACTGACAAATGGATAAACAGCCAACTTTTTATTCTTGGTCAAAACAGAGTTTCTACTACTTCAATACTAATCTGAAGTAAGGGTTTAAAACCCTTAGGGCCCAGGGTCAAGAATCGCCCCAGTAAAGACTCCAGTTGGACCCATTAGACTTTGGAAAATGTGAAGCAGGGCATAAATTTGAGCATAGTTGGCACATATTTTATTATATTTTTTGTATATGTTTCAGCTTTTCCAACTGATAAAGACTTCCTCTGTGGCCATTCATGCAACATCTTTTTTTCTGCTATATCTACTATAGAAATAAAGATGAAAAAATCTGCAAATTAACAAATATTATTTTATATTGTTTAATTGTATGTTTAATTGTACGTTTAATTGTTTTGTAATACAGGAAGGCCTGTGCAATGTCATTTTACACATTTATTTCTTATAGTTAAATCCTCGAGAGTCACATTGACAGATTTCTTTCATTTACCATCTTAGCATTACGTGTATTTACACCGGTCCAGCAGGTGGCGGCAATGCACTTGTAAGTTGGTGTGCTATCCGCCCTTAAAAGCCACAAGAAGAAGAATAAGCATCTCGAAGTGAAAGTGAATAATGTGGAGAAAAATAGTTTATATTTAAAAGCCTCGAACAAGGAACAAGCTTGTAAGTTACGTTTCTTTATTTGAATGACGACCGCACTGTTAGCTTATATAGGTTAATCCAAGCTACAGTAATCGAGGCTAACCTTCAGCATTTATAGCCAATCAAAGCTAAGTTAGCTAAAGATGCTGTGTTTTTGCAGTGCGCTCAGGGTAGTAAGATAAAGAAAAATCTGTCGTTTTAGCGTGAAAGTGACGTGTCAAATGAAGAAAATATGCTTGGCTAGCTCGTCGTAGCTTTGTTGGAGCTGTCAGCTGTGCGTTTTTTTCGCGGTGTGCCGTCTTTGTCTGTAATTAATGCACATATATACAGGTAAAATGAACTGAATCTGTAACTTACTGTGAACATCTACCTACGACCATCTTCGCTGAAGTCTCAGAATGTAATAAGTGGACCAAAACACCTATTTAGGTCTTACTGTAGCTTCCACCCGGCACTAGGAATAAACAAAGTTTGTATTTCACTGTATTAGAAGTCCAGTTATACATACCAAGACCCGTGTATTTCTATTGTTTCTATGTTGTTGCTTACGAAGGCTGAATGTCATGTTTATTTCTGGTTTGTAAGGATTTCTTTGAACAGTTCTTTTAACTACCGTACAACATAAATCTGTACTCGCTTTAAAATACAAGAATTGGGTGCAAAAAATGAAGTGAATTTGTTTTTTTTTCTTCTCTAAGGTGTGGATTAGCTCAAATATATAAACACCCTTATTATTTTTTGGTTAGCTATTGATTTGAGATGAAGTTGAAGTATATGGAGATACTCCTCCAGTCCATGGCATTGTCAATGTGGACATTGTCAATGTGGACATTGT